GTTAAGTGTTGCGTTATACCCTCTTAAGCATTAACCAATGTGAGTTGAGTGGTCCTTTCGAGTGAGTAAGTTGTCTCATGTAGTGTGAATCATGATGAACATCTTATACTTTATCTGTTGTGAGGTTTTGCTTTTATGGCTACTTGTTTGATTGAGCGCCTTGATCAGTAGCTGCTCTTCAAATTTGTCATGAAACGCTCTGCCTACGTTCCACACCTGGTCAGGCAATCCCGAGTTATCTACTTGAATCTTAATCTCTTAATGATCTCATGAAGTCATCACTTCATAGCACAGTGAAGGGCGAATGACAGCTACTGCATGAATATACCTCTTCTCTAGGATCCCATATCTTGTTTCGAGCTAATGTGAGCCTATTTATTTATTCGCTCTCGTTCGTGGGTCCTGGGAAACGATTCCAGGTCCTTGGTGGATTCGCAAGCAGTAGGTCTAGCCACCAGCCTGCTGTAGCCCTGGTTAAACCTACGGATGGTTGGGTGTTGGTTAAATTTTAAGGATTGTATGATTTGTCCAAGGACTATTGTGCAGATAGGTTAGTGAAATATCGTGTCACCAGACAGTTGTCTGGACTAGTTGTGAATAGGGTGTAGAAAGGAAGAAATCACATGGTTTACACAAGTTCGTTAAAAAGATATTGGATATTGGATACTGAGACTGATTATGTTGGATATTGGGCCATTAATCCTGATATGAGGGAGAGTTAAGTGTTGCGTTATACCCTCTTAAGCATTAACCAATGTGAGTTGAGTGGTCCTTTCGAGTGAGTAAGTTGTCTCATGTAGTGTGAATCATGATGAACATCTTATACTTTATCTGTTGTGAGGTTTTGCTTTTATGGCTACTTGTTTGATTGAGCGCCTTGATCAGTAGCTGCTCTTCAAATTTGTCATGAAACGCTCTGCCTACGTTCCACACCTGGTCAGGCAATCCCGAGTTATCTACTTGAATCTTAATCTCTTAATGATCTCATGAAGTCAACACTTCATAGCACAGTGAAGGGCGAATGACAGCTACTGCATGAATATACCTCTTCTCTAGGATCCCATATCTTGTTTCGAGCTAATGTGAGCCTATTTATTTATTCGCTCTCGTTCGTGGGTCCTGGGAAACGATTCCAGGTCCTTGGTGGATTCGCAAGCAGTAGGTCTAGCCACCAGCCTGCTGTAGCCCTGGTTAAACCTACGGATGGTTGGGTGTTGGTTAAATTTTAAGGATTGTATGATTTGTCCAAGGACTATTGTGCAGATAGGTTAGTGAAATATCGTGTCACCAGACAGTTGTCTGGACTAGTTGTGAATAGGGTGTAGAAAGGAAGAAATCACATGGTTTACACAAGTTCGTTAAAAAGATATTGGATATTGGATACTGAGACTGATTATGTTGGATATTGGGCCATTAATCCTGATATGAGGGAGAGTTAAGTGTTGCGTTATACCCTCTTAAGCATTAACCAATGTGAGTTGAGTGGTCCTTTCGAGTGAGTAAGTTGTCTCATGTAGTGTGAATCATGATGAACATCTTATACTTTATCTGTTGTGAGGTTTTGCTTTTATGGCTACTTGTTTGATTGAGCGCCTTGATCAGTAGCTGCTCTTCAAATTTGTCATGAAACGCTCTGCCTACGTTCCACACCTGGTCAGGCAATCCCGAGTTATCTACTTGAATCTTAATCTCTTAATGATCTCATGAAGTCAACACTTCATAGCACAGTGAAGGGCGAATGACAGCTACTGCATGAATATACCTCTTCTCTAGGATCCCATATCTTGTTTCGAGCTAATGTGAGCCTATTTATTTATTCGCTCTCGTTCGTGGGTCCTGGGAAACGATTCCAGGTCCTTGGTGGATTCGCAAGCAGTAGGTCTAGCCACCAGCCTGCTGTAGCCCTGGTTAAACCTACGGATGGTTGGGTGTTGGTTAAATTTTAAGGATTGTATGATTTGTCCAAGGACTATTGTGCAGATAGGTTAGTGAAATATCGTGTCACCAGACAGTTGTCTGGACTAGTTGTGAATAGGGTGTAGAAAGGAAGAAATCACATGGTTTACACAAGTTCGTTAAAAAGATATTGGATATTGGATACTGAGACTGATTATGTTGGATATTGGGCCATTAATCCTGATATGAGGGAGAGTTAAGTGTTGCGTTATACCCTCTTAAGCATTAACCAATGTGAGTTGAGTGGTCCTTTCGAGTGAGTAAGTTGTCTCATGTAGTGTGAATCATGATGAACATCTTATACTTTATCTGTTGTGAGGTTTTGCTTTTATGGCTACTTGTTTGATTGAGCGCCTTGATCAGTAGCTGCTCTTCAAATTTGTCATGAAACGCTCTGCCTACGTTCCACACCTGGTCAGGCAATCCCGAGTTATCTACTTGAATCTTAATCTCTTAATGATCTCATGAAGTCATCACTTCATAGCACAGTGAAGGGCGAATGACAGCTACTGCATGAATATACCTCTTCTCTAGGATCCCATATCTTGTTTCGAGCTAATGTGAGCCTATTTATTTATTCGCTCTCGTTCGTGGGTCCTGGGAAACGATTCCAGGTCCTTGGTGGATTCGCAAGCAGTAGGTCTAGCCACCAGCCTGCTGTAGCCCTGGTTAAACCTACGGATGGTTGGGTGTTGGTTAAATTTTAAGGATTGTATGATTTGTCCAAGGACTATTGTGCAGATAGGTTAGTGAAATATCGTGTCACCAGACAGTTGTCTGGACTAGTTGTGAATAGGGTGTAGAAAGGAAGAAATCACATGGTTTACACAAGTTCGTTAAAAAGATATTGGATATTGGATACTGAGACTGATTATGTTGGATATTGGGCCATTAATCCTGATATGAGGGAGAGTTAAGTGTTGCGTTATACCCTCTTAAGCATTAACCAATGTGAGTTGAGTGGTCCTTTCGAGTGAGTAAGTTGTCTCATGTAGTGTGAATCATGATGAACATCTTATACTTTATCTGTTGTGAGGTTTTGCTTTTATGGCTACTTGTTTGATTGAGCGCCTTGATCAGTAGCTGCTCTTCAAATTTGTCATGAAACGCTCTGCCTACGTTCCACACCTGGTCAGGCAATCCCGAGTTATCTACTTGAATCTTAATCTCTTAATGATCTCATGAAGTCATCACTTCATAGCACAGTGAAGGGCGAATGACAGCTACTGCATGAATATACCTCTTCTCTAGGATCCCATATCTTGTTTCGAGCTAATGTGAGCCTATTTATTTATTCGCTCTCGTTCGTGGGTCCTGGGAAACGATTCCAGGTCCTTGGTGGATTCGCAAGCAGTAGGTCTAGCCACCAGCCTGCTGTAGCCCTGGTTAAACCTACGGATGGTTGGGTGTTGGTTAAATTTTAAGGATTGTATGATTTGTCCAAGGACTATTGTGCAGATAGGTTAGTGAAATATCGTGTCACCAGACAGTTGTCTGGACTAGTTGTGAATAGGGTGTAGAAAGGAAGAAATCACATGGTTTACACAAGTTCGTTAAAAAGATATTGGATATTGGATACTGAGACTGATTATGTTGGATATTGGGCCATTAATCCTGATATGAGGGAGAGTTAAGTGTTGCGTTATACCCTCTTAAGCATTAACCAATGTGAGTTGAGTGGTCCTTTCGAGTGAGTAAGTTGTCTCATGTAGTGTGAATCATGATGAACATCTTATACTTTATCTGTTGTGAGGTTTTGCTTTTATGGCTACTTGTTTGATTGAGCGCCTTGATCAGTAGCTGCTCTTCAAATTTGTCATGAAACGCTCTGCCTACGTTCCACACCTGGTCAGGCAATCCCGAGTTATCTACTTGAATCTTAATCTCTTAATGATCTCATGAAGTCAACACTTCATAGCACAGTGAAGGGCGAATGACAGCTACTGCATGAATATACCTCTTCTCTAGGATCCCATATCTTGTTTCGAGCTAATGTGAGCCTATTTATTTATTCGCTCTCGTTCGTGGGTCCTGGGAAACGATTCCAGGTCCTTGGTGGATTCGCAAGCAGTAGGTCTAGCCACCAGCCTGCTGTAGCCCTGGTTAAACCTACGGATGGTTGGGTGTTGGTTAAATTTTAAGGATTGTATGATTTGTCCAAGGACTATTGTGCAGATAGGTTAGTGAAATATCGTGTCACCAGACAGTTGTCTGGACTAGTTGTGAATAGGGTGTAGAAAGGAAGAAATCACATGGTTTACACAAGTTCGTTAAAAAGATATTGGATATTGGATACTGAGACTGATTATGTTGGATATTGGGCCATTAATCCTGATATGAGGGAGAGTTAAGTGTTGCGTTATACCCTCTTAAGCATTAACCAATGTGAGTTGAGTGGTCCTTTCGAGTGAGTAAGTTGTCTCATGTAGTGTGAATCATGATGAACATCTTATACTTTATCTGTTGTGAGGTTTTGCTTTTATGGCTACTTGTTTGATTGAGCGCCTTGATCAGTAGCTGCTCTTCAAATTTGTCATGAAACGCTCTGCCTACGTTCCCTACCTGGTCAGGCAATCCCGAGTTATCTACTTGAATCTTAATCTCTTAATGATCTCATGAAGTCAACACTTCATAGCACAGTGAAGGGCGAATGACAGCTACTGCATGAATATACCTCTTCTCTAGGATCCCATATCTTGTTTCGAGCTAATGTGAGCCTATTTATTTATTCGCTCTCGTTCGTGGGTCCTGGGAAACGATTCCAGGTCCTTAGTGGATTCGCAAGCAGTAGGTCTAGCCACCAGCCTGCTGTAGCCCTGGTTAAACCTACGGATGGTTGGGTGTTGGTTAAATTTTAAGGATTGTATGATTTGTCCAAGGACTATTGTGCAGATAGGTTAGTGAAATATCGTGTCACCAGACAGTTGTCTGGACTAGTTGTGAATAGGGTGTAGAAAGGAAGAAATCACATGGTTTACACAAGTTCGTTAAAAAGATATTGGATATTGGATACTGAGACTGATTATGTTGGATATTGGGCCATTAATCCTGATATGAGGGAGAGTTAAGTGTTGCGTTATACCCTCTTAAGCATTAACCAATGTGAGTTGAGTGGTCCTTTCGAGTGAGTAAGTTGTCTCATGTAGTGTGAATCATGATGAACATCTTATACTTTATCTGTTGTGAGGTTTTGCTTTTATGGCTACTTGTTTGATTGAGCGCCTTGATCAGTAGCTGCTCTTCAAATTTGTCATGAAACGCTCTGCCTACGTTCCACACCTGATCAGGCAATCCCGAGTTATCTACTTGAATTTTAATCTCTTAATGATCTCATGAAGTCAACACTTCATAGCACAGTGAAGGGCGAATGACAGCTACTGCATGAATATACCTCTTCTCTAGGATCCCATATCTTGTTTCGAGCTAATGTGAGCCTATTTATTTATTCGCTCTCGTTCGTGGGTCCTGGGAAACGATTCCAGGTCCTTGGTGGATTCGCAAGCAATTGTGCCAGCCGCAGTTGTGGTGTTGCCGTGCTTCAGGCTGTGGGTTTTTGATTGATGGTTAGCGGCTCAGAGGATGTAATTAGTTACCGATTTTGGGTTTAAGGAATGTCATGCTGGTTATTGTGGGTGTAGGTTGTGGGCTCCTGTTGGTTTTTATTTGAGGGAGCGGTGTGGTGTGTCTTTGTCGGTATGCTTTGTCGGTTTAGATGTACTGGCTGGCCCTGGTTAAACCTGCGGTTGTTTTGGTGTTTCTTTTAGTTATTAAGATCGTTTTTTTTGTGCAAGGACTTTGGTGCAGATAGGTTAGTGAAGTATCGTGTCACTAGACAGTTGTCCGGAGTAATTAGTACTAGGGTAGAGAATGGAGGAATCGATGTTCGGTGAAATGAAGGGAGAGAAGATGTGAAAAATCAGGTTGAAAAGAAGCGAGGCGTTAGGGAAGGAGGAACTTAGGTAGATTTACTGGAGATGACAGTGATACGGAGAACCTTAATGAGTAGTGTGAAATCTTAGGGTAGAGGGATGAGGAGAGCCTATGCATACTGTAGGGCGGGTTACGGGAATAGATATAGTAATGCCCTTAGAACTAGACGCGAGAGATCAGAAGCTATAAGTTTTGTACGCTCACACTATCAATATTGGATATTGGATGGTAACTGCAGGAGATGTCTAACAGGGAAGTATAAGGTTGAGGCAGGTTCGCGATGATGGTGGTGGTACAAAAGATTCGGTTTAGGGTTGACTGTACTGGATTGTGCGGAATTGTCTGATCTTGTTAACCTAGTCCGTATCCCGGTGGAATGAGCACAAATAATGCGTAGCTATGTAACCTCTCCTTGAAGCTGTTAACAGACGAAGCAGAGACAATCTTGGCAGGGAATGCGTCCCAGTGGCCACAAACTAGCGGCGAAAAAAGCGTGAACGCACACAAGTCCTCCCTCTTAGGTGGGCGATTCTCTTTGGGTTGCCACGACCAGTTCCACGTTGGCCGCTCGACAGGATTCCACTTTTGCGGATGAGTTAAATTACTTAGTATTTCGTAAGCCGTTTTAAAGTCACCACGAAACGTAAAGTAATGAAGACGGTAAAACCGCTGGTTGTTCAGCCTGTCCTCCTAGGGTTGTTGCCACATTCTTACAACACCTTTCGTTACTCGCCACTGGACTTCCCCTAGGACGTTCATATCTCTTTTCAGGTGTTGTGATGCAATGATGTTGTTAACCTCTAAATGAGGTCGTATGTAGATCTTATACAGCTTCAAGAAGAGTTCCGGAGTGAGGGCACCTAGTGGTCTGCGCACGAGGGGAAGTACTGCGTGGGCTGTGAAGGCATCTCTTGGATAATTAGATCTGGTGGCTAGCTTATCAGTGAATATAATCCCTTTTCTTTCATCGTGGTTGTATGAGAAGTTTGCATACCTTAAAAGAAGATAGTTCTGGTGATTTCAATGTGCTGTGTGGATTGATTAAGTGGCAATCTGTTGTTATTGATCCACCTTGGGAGCTATTTGTGATAACTTTGTAGTTCGCTTGATTCTACTTCGGATGTCACAGCTCCTCATAAGGTAAAACAGTGATGATGCTGAGAGGAAGAATAGCACATTTCCACTCTCGTGGTATTATGTGTTTGTCTAAGGACTACATGTGACACCTGTACACTTTTAACACACGGGGGAGTGTCAGCTCATCTTGGTGATTTTCCTGCGCGGAGTTCAAGATCCGACACGCATCCACTTATTGATTAACTTAGAACCACCCTTGTGCGCGTGTTAAGTATCATCCCAGGATATTTGTCGAAAATCAATTTGTGGGAGATGTTGTGTATTACCGTTTGTCAGGATTGAGCTCTCGCTTAATACTTATTGAACTCGCTTCCTGAGATACGTGCTTAGTTCGGGAATACAAACTGACTGTTTTTATTTTCCTGAAGAGAATATCTACAATATATTCAGAGGAAGTTGTACTGTTTAATTAATTGCTGGTGTTTTACAAATTGTTATTTTTTCTTACTCACCTTTCTATTCCATTTTGTATATTTCGCCTTTCCTGGCTGACTGACTGTCAAGAGTAACGTAGAACCTCACACTAACTGTTGTTTTCAGATTGCTCATTCTTTCACACAACTTCCTGTAATTTGATAACGCCCTTTATCCATTTACCTGTGAAGTGTGGCAACTTGAACCGACTCAACTGGATGCGAGGTTCTACGTTGGTTTTGTTGATCGAGAATGAGGATCCGCGACTCCCTGTCCTCGAAAATCTGACTCGGCACACAGAGACCGTGTTTCTGCATTGTCTGGCCAATGTGGCAACAGACAGCTAGTGTTCATAGTCGGCTTAATGCGGATAAGCTTGGGATTACGGATGGATATATGAAGGTTATCAAAGTGAAAACAATATGAAAGTATAAAATGAAACAGGCTCATCAATTTTAGATTTGTCATTGGTCGGGATATATTATAACGTCGGGCTCACCAATTACGGAATCGTCCTGGTGCGAACTTGACAGGCGCAAAGACCAATCACTAATTATTCGAACGTGTTATATACCCACGAACACGAGGCCAAGAAAGGACACAATAGCGTAGTCGGATGGAATGCGATATTTTGGCGGTTGTGCCAAGATACCGGTGTGTTCCAACTAACTGGCTAGAGAGTCGATTGCGAGCAGTGCAACACAACACGACAGCGCGCCAAACGGCGAGGATGTTTGATTGCGTGCCCCCAGCTTAACGAGTAAAATTAAACTATCAAGGTCAGCATCAATGTTGAATCTCGTCAAACACTAGGCTATTCATTTTGGGTAAGCGTGATGCCATAAACCCACTTACCTGGGTGCAAGTTTCTACGTTGGTTTTGTGGGTCAGTATCAGCCACACGTGTGCATCGGCTCAAGTCGCCTCACCTGAAAGGAGTACACAAAGAACAGGTTGATATGAGAGGAGTGACACCAAAGTATGCAATGTAGTGTGAGAGAGTAAATAATCTGAAGATAAAGGTTAGTGCAAATATTCAAGCTCTAAAAGATGTCAAGGAGTAAATACATCTGCACCATCGTGATGTATTTTCAGTTATGTCACCAAGAGTCTTCGACCACTGATTCCTATCGTCTCATGGACCCCAACCAGATGGCCTCCTAGATATAATTAGTTTTGTAAAGTATGCTTATAGCTTGAAGGTTTCTACATTGACCACCTCTTCAAATTTATGTCAACAACATGATTTCCTATCTAACATTGACGAAACAATGATCTAACCTGAATGGTCTCATGCCTAATTCCACGGAACACCAGACAACCAATCATAATCTCAAATGTGGAAAGTATTTGCATAAACTGCCTCAGTCAAATGACTCTTGTATTACTACTGACCATGGATTACAGAATGTTGCACCTGTGATCTGTCTTGGTCCATGCTTTTCATCTAATCTTTCTTGATGCTCCCATGGTTCAGTTGACGGCTGGAATCGACGGTTGCAGAACGAGTTTTGTGCCTTGACCACATTTACGTATTCCCTTCATCCAAATGCTCATATAATAATTCTTCATTCACTCTACCCCCTTTACTTCTCTTCTTGTGAGTTTCTGTGACTTTCGACTACATCTTTTCGCTTTCTCTGTCTTCCGTCTTCCTGCCTTGTACCTTGATGCACTGATTTGGGATTTATCAACTTGAACTTTCATGCAGTGATGTCAGATCCCTTATTGAAGTTGAATGACCGATTCTTTCATATCTTAGTGATTTCAACAAACTTCCACTCACTTTACTACAAGGAGAATCTGTGAGTTTATGGTATTTCCCAGATTCCAGTTTGGGTACTTATTAGTTTATGTTTTATGTATTTCATTCATTTGTTCTCTTTTAAACTCCCAACAAAGACTGTATTGTATTACCTGGAAATTTGAATACCTAGGGGGGTAGTAGTGAAACATTGCGTGCTGAAAGTTCTGTATAAAACCGAAAAGATTATTCAGAACACAGCTATGATAGCAATATTGACTAAAATCTGGGTGATGATTGAAGGTTAAATGAAAATCCCGACCGTGGCGGGATTCGAATCAGGATTTCTCTTCTCAACCAAAATCTAAACGAACTAAAGAGGAGGAGCATCATACTAATTTCCATCTTGACTCTCTGAGATGGCCGTTGGTCAAAATGATAATCAGTATGATGCTCCCCCTCTCTAACTCATATAGATTTTGATATTGGCATGAGAAATCCTGATTGGGTAGCCAGTGCGAGTATGATCAAGCGGTAGGAACGCGTCACGAATTCACAATGTATTCGGGCAAGCTCCTTGATAATTGAAGTGAAATAAAAACCTTTTCAGCAGTCGAGCCTCGTAGCCCAGTTGGTAGAGCACCAGGTCGGAAACCCGGTGGTCGCTGATTCGAATCCTGCTGCGGTCGGGATTTTCATTTAACCTTCAGTTATCACCTGGTATCAATACTAGTGTCCCAAGCCACGGCTATCTCAGTCAAAATGACAATTAAAATCTGTATAATTGCTTGTGCATTATGTTGCTTTCTTAGTTTCGGCTCATGGAAGGGTTTTTGTGTTTTCTATCTTACAGATCGTGAGATCGCTATCTTCAGTTGCTGGTCGAATACACTCTGGCTAACCCTACACTTTGTACTAGTTTTAACTCTATTGGATGGCACTGAACGCAGAGAATTTGTCGCATAATATGGGTGTCAAAAATCTGTACGAATCTGATTTGGATGATGAAAACTATTCTTCCGTGGAGAATTACGGTATTAGAGAGCTAAGACGCAAGCTACACACTGAAGCAGAACAGCGTCGGAGAAATGCTATTAAGGTTGGTAGTCTTATGACTAATTCCATTCCTGATTAAGCGAGGCTTCGAGAGTCTTCTAGAGCTAGTTCACCCAATAAAAAATGATCCGGCTCCTTCTGTTCGTATGAGTAAATCCAGCATTTTACACAAAGGTAGTTGGAAATACTGTACTTATAAATGATTGCAGCGGTATCAATGATTGAAAGGCTTGGAAGACAAAAGCACCAGAAGCTTTCGGAAGTTGAGAGCTTGGAAAGGGAAGTGAAAGCTCTTCGAATATTGTGTTTGTAAGTCACCCAAATTATTACCCTATGAACTCAGGAATTATGAGAAGATGGTTCAGAATAGTCCAAATAGTGATTGTAGATCTGTCGAGCCTGTTTCAGATGAAATGAAACTGGAAGTGTTTCAGATGTTCTCTGGTGCCTTGTTCAACTCATTTGAAGATCATATTGTGTTCAATTCATTTTCAGATCTTTCAGCATCAGTAATCAACTGGATTGAAGAAAGCTGTAAACCTGAAGTTAGTTGACTCTGCATTTATCCATAAACAGCAGCTTTTATATTTTTGACTCTCCGTAGTGTTGAGCTGGGCAAAATCTTCAAATAGTTTTTTGAGGTGTGCTTGCAGTGCATTTTAAATGTTGGTCTGCCGTCACTCTGTTATGAGTTCATGACATGGAAACTGCACCCGTTACAAATAAAAATGGGCAATGCGATAAAAACTTGAGACTGGACCTTAAAGAAAGCAATGTTAACGCCATAAGTATGGTATGGCTCACTATGTTGCTTTCTGATTGTTGTCTATGCAGTCGGTAAGCCTGATGATTTTTTAAAAGTAGGTGTTCAAAGAATAGTTGCGAAAGTGTGTTATGTGAAAACAAAGTTCATATTCTCACGAGATCGGTTAACATGGTAAGGGTGGAAGTGTGATATGAGGAAGATAACATGCACATTTACATCGTGATGTGACCTGTGATTTTCGCTTGTGTGGTGTGTAGTGGACCCAAAGATGATAAACTACGCATAATTTTAAAAAAATAGATTCACCGATGCAGAAATGTGAAAAGTCACCTGTTATAACACGAAATAGTAATGTCGATGTTATGTATAATAACTGGTTACTTGAATGTTATCTCTTCACTACCGTCCACCACAATTTAGTATACTCCAGGGTTCAGAAGGCAATATTTGTTAGCTCTCCAGTCGACGTTGGTTGGCTTAATTGTCGTAATATTTGGAGGTAGGATGAGAGGTCCTGTAAAATCCGAAGGCAATCAATGAGTATTCACGACCGAGAATAGTCATGGAGACAGAAGTCGGAATGGATAGAAGCACACTATATTTCCACGTTTAACAGCAGCAGCAAAGTCATCAATAACCGCCACAACCAAAAGTGTTTACAGATAAACAACATTCGTTGGTAAGAATGTACAAAATGAGTGAAAAGTGATGAAAAGGAAACATTGTTTTCAATTCAAGTGGTTTATACACGATTTCATGCGGTCTCCAAAGGTGTCATCATCTCGGAAACTCATAGAATTCCAATCTCTTTTTATAGGACCATGTAAGTGCAGTTCATTGCTTAGTGTACAAACCTGCACATATTTACTCCTGAGTTAACATATCCACCGAAAGTTTCACTTCAAAACATAGAACACATTACTATACATCAGGTGCTGTTGACGCACTATTTAGGAAAATGCTTATGAAGCGATAATTACTTCTGCAGCAGTTCCGCTCTAACTACCACTTTTAGCGGGTTGTAGTAAATTTGAATCGTGTACAGATGCTGTAACTGGTAACCGCATACAGACTAAAAGGAGTGGATAAATCATACTGTTATTAGTCATAGTCAGTGTATTGGTAAAGGACTGTTGCTCTTTTAAAGTGCCTACTTGACTTGTAATCAGGTAGTGGTTGACGAATGCGTTTCTGCTCCTAAATAGGTGCAAGAAATGGGCAGTTAAAAATCTAATATGTGCAGTTTGGATAACAACTCTCCAAGTAGGAGCTAGGTAAGCACTCATGAAATTCCGATAGAGATTCTTATGCATTTATGTGATGCCACATACAGTCAACTGTCGAAACAGTTGCAAACACATTTGATAACAATAAAACCCAAGGGTTTTAAAAGCCATTTTGTCTTTTCGGTCTCGTCCAACTAGTTAGTAGACGAAGACTCGTTTAACTACATACTAGTGATATCTCATCTGCGGAACTAAAAGGAGGCTGAAATAATATTGACGAACACATAGATGACTGAATGAAAACGAACGAACGAACCATAACCAACTAATAATTTATATCACCAGGGTGCATGCTTAACAGCACACACAATAAGGGAATACTGAGCGATGGGTGACGACAGCAAGAGAGATGGGAAAGGCTTCAGCAATTATTTAGGCTTATTAAGAATACCGTCAAGAAGAAGACGATGTCGAGTGAAACCGTCACCGAAAAGGATTGGACGCTGATAACCTTCCAGGACAGACAACTGTAACGTTTGACAGAACACTTTGAAGCACGGCTCAACTGACCCTCAGCAGCACTTTAGTTGCTCGTCATCCAGCCTGAACCTCAGTGAGACGTAGATATCAATCCTCCAACTCTCGTGGAACCTGAGGAAGCTATATCGAACCTAAAACGGTATAAAGCAGCAAGACCTGACAGTTTGCCACTTGAAGATCTCAGTGTTGGTGGTAAGATATTTCTAGTTAAAGCGACGGAGGTACTAGGTAGTGTATGTGCTTCAAGGATAGTACCATCAGACTGATGTACTTCATTGATCATTCCAGTCTACAAGAGGGGAGAGAGATTTAGTGGCAGTCATGTGGAATCAGTTTGACCAATATTGTTTCCAAAATTCCAGGGTCCATAGTTATCCGACTCCTAACCGGAGCTCGAGAACAGCGAACCCGAGAAAACCAGGCAGGTTTCAGACCTGGACGAGGGTGTAGCGATTTTGTGTTTACCCTCCGACAGGTTCTGGGACACAGACATGCCTACTTGCCAATGGCCAACACTTTCCGTTTTGGTTGACCTGGAGGCGGCACTTAACTCTGTCGACCATGAGGTTTTGTGTCAGTTTGTGACTGTGAAAGGAGTACCGAGCAAGTACATAACACTGACCAAAGCTCTCTACTCGAACTCACGCAGGCGTGTCAGGGCTTATGGAGAGTTGTCACTGGATGCCCACCGCCACCGTTCATACTCAACTTCGTCATGGACATGCTGGTGGGCGTAACACTCCGTACGTCTGACTTCACAGGGATTGACCTACCCCTGGAGGTCATCCGGCTGACTTGAAGTATTCAGACGATGTAGTCCAGCTGTGTGAAGACTCTGACGCAATGCGGAGTCCTTTGAACGTGTTGGGCATAAATCTGAGTAAGTTCAGCATGCTTCTTACTGGTACCTGTCAAATGCAAGATGGTGCTCCAGGAGTGGTCTGCTGCAAGTACTCCCAGTTTAATGATAGGGAGTGGACTGGCAAGTCGATTGATGAGGTTGTGAACCTTAGTCGACTGAGATGGCTTGGACATATACGGCGTATGTCGAACAAGCCACCGTCTACCTCGATGTTGGTTACTACGGGAAGCCGGCTTAGGTTGATAGAGGGTTCAAGATGGTCAAATCAAGACGTAGGATCAACCGATGAAGTCACTTACTGTTGGTCTGAGTCATGTATGGAGGTGTAGACTACTACCTACCACTACCTACTACCACCGATAGGGATAGGTGGTTGAGGACTCTTGGTGGCGTGACTGAAAATCTATCACGATGGTGCAGATGTATTTACTCCTTGACATCTTTTAGAGCTTGAATATTTGCACTAACTTTTATCTCAGATTATTTACTCTCTCACACTATATTACATACTTTGATAACACTCCTTTCTTATCCACCTGTTCTTTGTGTACTACTTTCAAGTGAGGCAGCTTGAGCTGATGTACTTGTGTCTGGGATTTTATGTTGATTTAGCCAATGAGTGAGTCATTCAGTCAGTCAAACAGTCATTTTTCATAATCTCCATGTGCGAAATTTCACTGACAGTTAGTCATCATCGTGAATAGTCAGTATAGTGGGAGGAATTGCTGGGTGGCGGTCTAAGTTGCCGCATTTCATTGGCACATCAAGTAAGGAAGCAGTAAGATGAAACATGAAGAAAGGTCAAAAATTAGTCGAAAGCAGTAGAAAGTAGTTAAAAATTAGAAGGAAGAATGAGGAAACTCTTAATTCAGTATGGCTAGTAAGATTAAGATAATGTATGAATGTATCTGCGCCACTGACCTAGATTCTGAGCTGTATCAGCTAGAGTCTCCAACTGCTGGTTTGTGTTGTCGCATGGACCCCAACCGGCTTGTGTTCATCTCCTGAAATGGCTGAAACCGACAGTCAAAGACTTTATGCAGCGACGAAGGTTCATAACCTTATCAAATGGCTTTCTTCTCCTTTTCCCAACTGTACACTTGACTTCTACATTAGTGACGTGATGACACCACGACACACGACCTTTGCTACGAAGTCAAGGGTGGTCAAATACTTGAAGCAGTTACATATCCTCTACCTTTAATGGCTATGTTTCACAGACACATCAGGTAGAACAGAGCGAACTACATCACAGTACATTAGACCCTTAGTAGGGAATCAGATATTGTGGTGGCACCATAGATGGCATAATTTGCCGAAAGCTAGTTGAGTTTTTGTATTCCTGTAGAGATTTCATCGACCATTGACCCATCAAAGCTGACCCAACTTCCCAGGTAAGTGAGATGTTCAACTCACCCAATGATTTCACTCCCTATTGTTAGACAAGGGGATCAGTGAAGATGAATTCTTGAGCAACAGTTTGTATTCGGGTGGGGAGAAATGCATCCCAAATATTGTCAAATTACCACTCAAGATGTCAGGAAGACTGCATTTTGTCAGTCGTCACCTAACAGGACTATTGTGATATTCAAGCCCAACCACCACGTCAAGGTAACAGCTGTCAGCCGGGACTTAAATGTCGGCATTCTCGTTTTTAATTTCTTTTTTCACGCGAGTTTGTTAAGTTTCGTTTTCGCCATTGATTTTCATAACTCTTTTCTCATGATCATCAATTTGGTATTGATTTTCCTGTATTTTATATATTGGCAGTCATTTAAGGCCAAGTATACAAATATATTCTTGCTGAACGGAGATGGTGAAGAAATTTAAGGATTTCTGAATGTATTGAGTGAATGAATATTAGTATTTCTACCTGTCAAAAGTAGGTTATGCTTGAGGGCTTTTCTGTAATGACTATTACGTTATGGACAACAAACAGATCATAAAGTTCACTGACGGATATACTTATTTTGATATCTGCATCAATTCCAAGGGATACTCTGCTGACGACATTTCAGCGTGGACTGAAAATGCTCATCTAGTATTCTTTCACCAACGACAGCAACTAAGGTATTCAAATACCAATCAAAGATGAATATACTGCGCTGTTAACGTGGTCATTGGAAATAGGTGTGGTTTGTAGTCGTCAGTGGCTTGGTATCAGCGCTGATATGTGGTGGAACTATAAAACGAGCAGTATAAAAGTTAAGTTGGTATAGTAGGTGGGAGCAACACGTCAATAAACGAAGTTGTCAATATGTCCAATGATGTTTGGGACATTTGGTATACAAACTAAGCCACTATCCTCTTTGACTTACTATTTTAGCCGAAGTAGGATTAAGCTGAACAATATAATGCTTAAAGCTGGACATTATGCAGGCCTGCAGTCTTTGATTGTCGATGTTTTACATAGAAAAGTACAAGTTGATTGCTTAGGTTTTTCAACTTTGACATGACTGAAAATCAGCCACGGTGAAGTAGATGAAATGGTTCTTTATTTTCAGAACTATGGACAATTTATCGATCTTCATTTATGAGTTCACTATCAAGCGGTATCCTCTCGTCAATTTCTGCGGCATTTTAAGTTGCTGAGAAGTTTAAGTACTTCAAGTACTGTACACTTGTGCATGATTCTTTGTTGTTTTGTTTATTTACCTGTCTTTCTGTAGTGTTAGTGCAACTAAGACGAGATTAGGATCGCTTTTAGCTTTGATTCTTGTCCTTTCCATCATTACTTCTTTGCACTTCACATCTACTAAAAACGTCTACCACACATCGCTTGACCCTTCTGTCTGTATTCTTGAGTTACGTGATATAGTGTTTGTATTGAGGTAACTATTGAAATGAAGTCTCTGGTTTAATAATCAGAGCTATGGTGTATTTTTCTGGGTTGAAAACATAAATGCAGAGATGAACAAATTTGTGTTCTTCCAGTTGAGAAATTAATCAGTTGGCAAATGTAAACTTGTATCTGGTCGAAAAGTGTGTTACCTTTCATAATGTAACATTTTTCGTACATATTGAATTTGTCTTCTAGTTATTAAAAACTTTGTATAGTTCATGGTGTAACCTGTTATAAATTACAGGTACAATTCAACTGTCATATTCTTGTTTCAGGAGCAAAATTAGTGTAGTGTTTTAGCTTTAACCATTGATGGATATTGAGTTAACAATAGAAAAAGCATTGGTAAGGCGTTTATATTAAACAGGAGTATTATTCAAGAAGACTTAAAAATTCTTGTCGAAATGGTTGAATATTGTTAGCGAAGAAGTTGGAAAGCTCACAGAAGAGATACCTCGAAGTAACTTGGATGGTTTGCCAATGAATTGTTGGGACTCTTGTGTTCTATGTCATTATCCTTTGCTGTTAGGATAGTCATGTGTAGGAATTTTTTACCCTTGTTAACAGATACAAAGTTGAAACAGATGGAAAGTTAACTTGTTCACTAATGGATATTATCTGTGTCGTCAACATACGTGTCTACATCCTTGTATGAAGTGAACGCCTCTTTCCTTAGTCTTACTTGCCATCTGTTCAAGTAAGAAAAAAAGCGTACAGCACAGAAAACATACAGTCTTGTTAGCAGTTTTATTTTCTTGGAGTTTTCTCATGTCCTCAAAGGCTTTACCCCTGACAGGTTTTTTTTACTGCTAGAGTAATTTTATTTTTTCATTTAGGAAATGGCATTTTTAATGGATTCCGTTCTGGCCAGTATTTTTAACTGGAGTTTTGAAGCATCCGTAATTGGCAGTCGAACACTTCAGTTTAGCTCTCTATCAAGTCAAACCGAGCGTAATAATGATATTCAAAGCTGTTGTGATTCAGCAGGATCTAAGCATCCCTTAGTTCGTAGTTCTCCGGTTTACTCCTACTCACCTAGTGATTTGCAGATATCTGCAAATCATAGTTCTTGTAATCCTACTGTTGACCCAGAAAAGCTTGTTCCTCAACTCAGTCAAACATTTTCTGTTCAATCTCCAGGTAATTCCATTTCTGCCCAAATAACTGTGCTTCAATGTCCATCGGAATCTCAAAGCCTTACTGATTTAAATTTCCAGCAAACTGGATCATCAGATCTTTGTGAAGGTAATGGATTTTACAACTTTGGCTCATTTATACCTAAAAACATTAATCCCATGGTTGATCATTCATCTTTACCTACTGATACAATCATGAAAGACCCTGTATCACCTCATCTTATAAATTCCTCATGTACTGTTATGATAAACGAAATAAACTTGACTCAAGAATTACCACTTCATAATTCCAGTCATATTCAACAGTATAAACAATTTATCGATGACTTACTGTGATTTGTAATATTTTATTTTCTTGCTGATGAATAATTTTTCTCAATCTGTCCTCACTTTGTGATACAGTTGTCTATGTTATCGTTTTCAAATGCAATCTAAATTATTGACTTGTTAAGCTATTTTATTTTTGTCCTTATTTTGTTTCACTTACTCTCTACCCATTATCTTTCAGATTAATTTTTACACTAGTTAAACAAACACGAAAGAGAAAGGAAATCATTTCGGTGAAAACTAGAGTATAAAGTTATTATCCCTTTTGTAGAGGATGGGTAAATTAGAGGTTACAAATAACGGCGGTGGTGAATTTTTTTTTTCTTTTCAGTGATTTTTATTCGATTACAAAGTTATACAGCAGTTATTTACTTATCCAATACAAAATTTATAAAGCTTGCACACTGTTCATTTGATTTTATTATCCTTCAGTTTTGATTTCTTTTAAAGAATCTTTAGATATCAATCTGGGAGTTGTATTTGGCAGTTTCACAAAATGGTTTCGTTAGCCTGTTATATTTTAATATTTATATAGGTAAAATCTGCTGAATAGGAATCTATTTATTTTTATCCGTTCGTTGGCATATTGATTAGTCATCAGTCTTTGTATTTGGGCTTAGAAAGGAGTTCATTCTTAAAATATCCGTAACTTTTATTTTACCAACTTATTGCTATCTGTTTCTTGTATAAGAAATATCGAAGATCCTATTCCCATTATGACTCACCAACGCTCATTTTATACAGTTTTGTCAGATATATTTATTCTTATAATCCTCATCATTGTTTCTGTAGGAACTATAGATTGCTCGTGGCTGACTTTGCAGCATAATGGTAATCCTTTTTCAAGTTTGTTGAGCGTTGAATCAAGCATAAAGTTACAGATTCAAGTTCATCACAGTCATTTCAGTGAATGTGTGAATAGCAATGCCAACTTTAAGATGAAGTGTATCTGTAGTAACGCAGCACGCAAAATTCTATGTTGTTAACGTGTTTTGTTGCATTAACTGTGTAACATATATCATAGCATATTGGTATGACTGAAGTGTTATCTTTTCGCAACTGCTCTCTTACAGAAGCCTAGAATTTTGATTTGCATCAGCTTAACTGCTTATTTGAACCAATTTTTTCCGTTGTTAGCAAATATTGAAGAAGCAAGAAGACACAGATACGAAGGAAAGAATGGTTATTGTCAAAAATTGGGACGATAGTCGTTAGATATGGTACACCTTGCACTAAAACCATCATTGGCAAAATGTGCGTCGTTTCCTCTTCTATTTCTCTCTTGATTTGCTGTTCATACATTCTTATCAACAACATCCACTGTAATACGTCCGCGTTATCCCTTGCGTTGCTCTTGGCAGAATCCTTACCTATTGCTGGTAATTCCTTATGATTTCTGCCACCCTCTCAACATATACTACTTATATCCATTCTTATGAGCGATGCCCACTACAATATCAGTGTGAGAAAGGTTGGATACTTGAGATAGTTAGCTGTTTTGACACGGTTTGATATATTGTATGGTAATATGGGTATATATACCGACTATTTACACAGGATCCAAAGAAGTTTTTTAAAAGTCTGTTTTTTAACTGATAGTGGAGATCTCGGTGCTACAAAGTGTATTTATTTCTGTTAGTCAATTCAGACCACTGGGATGCAACTCTTGATATGACGTCACTACCTTGTAAATGAATTAATAGGTAGCATGCATGAAGAACACTCAGTTTGGTAAATTCACAGTTTGTGCAGTTATAAAGTGGAATTGTTCAACATAATGCAGGTTAATTTTTCGGCACATACATTTTTCTAAATGGACTGTGAATTAGGGATTGTGAGCAGATCAATTGTGAATTTGCCAATGTTGACTTATTTGCCTATAACATATTTGATATTGAGTTAAATTTAATGGTAGTTGGTGTCAAACCATCAATGAGTAGTTAGTTCTTAGTATTGACACTGTTCCATTTTATTGTGTGTAACCTAGTTATAGCCGAACTTTCTTCCACATTCCTTGTCTTATTAATGTCTACCAATCTTAATTTAGATAAGCTTTTGTGCTTGGGCAGCCTAATTGACCCTGATTGACTACTATGACCTATTTATTCGAACATGCAATCACTTTAGGGTATTTATTAAACTAAATTAATTTGCCTACTTGGATCAATATTATTTATTAACCTACAAAGTTAGTCCCTAAGTGAGTTTGTAGGTCTAAATGCCTTATACAGAATTCTGCATAGTGCTTCTTAGGTGGCTTATTTGTATGGTAACACTGTAGGGGTTTTGAGTTTCACCTTGAAAGTGCCACCATTATTAACACCTGTGTTACGATCACTGCTCATATTTTTCTTAGTAATTTCTGTTGGGTAATTATTAGGACGTGTGGTGGACCCAAAGAGATGTTAAGTAAATCAAAATGATAAACTACGTCGGATTTACAAAAATGGATTCACTGATACAGAAATATGAAAAGTTACGCGTTATAACACAAAATAGTAATGTCGATGTTATGTATAATAACTGGTTACTTGAATGTTGTCTCTTCACTACCGTCCACCACAATTTAGTATACTCCAGGGTTCAGAAGGCAATATTTGTTAGCTCTCCAGTCGACGTTGGTTGGCTTAATTGTCGTAATATTTGGAGGTAGGATGAGAGGTCCTGTAAAATCCGAAGGCAATCAATGAGTATTCACGACCGAGAATAGTCATGGAGACAGAAGTCGGAATGGATAGAAGCACACTATATTTCCACGTTTAACAGCAGCAGCAAAGTCATCAATAACCGCCACAACCAAAAGTGTTTACAGATAAACAACATTCGTTGGTAAGAATGTACAAAATGAGTGAAAAGTGATGAAAAGGAAACATTTTTTTTCATGCAGTCTCCACAGACGTAACGTAACCTTAATACATCTAATTTCTTGTCTCAAATTCTCTGCCCAATTATCAAGCTGTTTTGCCCTGTTACTTGGAAATTTAGCCAAGCTCACTTAACCTGGCAAAGAATAAGTTGATTTGAAATCAGTAGGGATTTGTGTGAGAATGCTTCTTATAGACACTCTTGTCTAATTGTCCATCTTTTCGTTTTATCCTTTAATCCGACACCACTGGCTTCTCTTCATCACTTTCTAATTCATAGATAAATTGTATTATATTCACTAATGAATTCATGTGTGTAATGAAACCAACAATTTTCCGTTCTCACTACTACTGTGTTATACACGTGTTTTATCAAGAAATTGATGCCACATTTAATCGAATCAAGAGTCTTCAAAGTTTCACTTCGACATTTCGTTGTGTAATTTTTAAGGTTGACGCATATTCATCACGTACATGTTAACTTTTCTCACGCAGAAGGTGTTTGCATGTAACAAAATGACTGTCCAATGTGGTTGTCTTTCATGAGGACTATTTTACAAATCAGAAACAAATTCTAAACAACATTTCGATATACAGTACAGAACCCAGCATTTGGTATCGCGAAGAATGACTCCATGTACTACTTTTTCAATTGAAAATTGCATCTATTGTAGCTGATAATAGTTATAGTAGAAATAATGTTAATACATAACTAACGACGAACATATTGTAAATCCATTCGCGTTACAAAGTTGACCAATACGTTATCTTATAACGCTTCCTTCTTCATAGAGGATACGAACTAAATAAGATACCTTATTTTTGTAGCTAGTCGCATGTGAATCAAGTCTTACGTACTTGCTTCTTATTTTCTATGAGAAGAAAGCTATGAATGAAGAGGTTGTTTTGAATATGACAAAATAACTACTGCCAATTGTTTGCATCAAATAGCGTGTCTGTCGACAACGGTTCACACGAGAAGAGTTGGAAGAATACCACTGATCCTGCTAAGTCCTACACAACACAATATATACCGTGATAAAAGTCTGGTAGATAAAAATGGAATGAAATATATAAAGCAGAAATTAATAAGTCCCCAAACTGGAACCTGGGGAGTACCATAAACTCACAGATTCTCCTTATAGTAAAGTGAGTGGAAGTTTGTTGAAATCACTAAGATATGAAAGAATCGGTCATTCAACTTCAATAAGGGATCTGACATCACTGCATGAAAGTTCAAGTTGATAAATCCCAAATCAGTGCATCAAGGTACAAGGCAGGAAGACGGAAGACAGAGAAAGCGAAAAGATGTAGTCGAAAGTCACAGAAACTCACAAGAAGAGAAGTAAAGGGGGTAGAGTGAATGAAGAATTATTATATGAGCATTTGGATGAAGGGAATACGTAAATGTGGTCAAGGCACAAAACTCGTTCTGCAACCGTCGATTCCAGCCGTCAACTGAACCATGGGAGCATCAAGAAAGATTAGATGAAAAGCATGGACCAAGACAGATCACAGGTGCAACATTCTGTAATCCATGGTCAGTAGTAATACAAGAGTCATTTGACTGAGGCAGTTTATGCAAATACTTTCCACATTTGAGATTATGATTGGTTGTCTGGTGTTCCGTGGAATTAGGCATGAGACCATTCAGGTTAGATCATTGTTTCGTCAATGTTAGATAGGAAATCATGTTGTTGACATAAATTTGAAGATGTGCCCGATATCGAAACTATCAGATCATAAGCGTATCTGTTAAACTTGATTGCAGCTGGAAAATTACTAACAAGAAAAGTGGGAGGAAGAACGGTTTTCTAAAAGACATCAGTTTCAGTAAGTATTATTATCATGTCGATGAAGCGAATAATACCTTATGGCGTTTACTGTCAGCAGACAGTTCCTATGTTTCTGGGCAGGAGAATTTTCGTTAGACGTAGAATGCGCAGATGACATAAACCCGTTAAGTGAAGACGCAGACAAGGTGCAGTCTTCTGAACACTTTGAGCGGCAATTTGAGGATGTTTAGTGTGTGTTTCTCACCACCCAAATGTAAGTTGTTGCCCCAGGATTGGTCTTCAGTAGTACCATGGCTAACAACAGAGAGTGTAATGGTTGAGTGTGTCGACCACTTCACTTACCTGGGAAGCAGGATCAGTCCTGGTGGCTCAGTGGCCGATAAAATTTTTGCACGAATGCAAAGGGTTCGACTGGCTTTCGCCAACTTATGCCACCTGTGGCGCCGCCATGATATCCGACTGCCTATCAAGGGTCGCATATACTTCACAGCAGTCCGCTCTGTTCTACTGTGTGGCTATGAAACATGGCCATTTAAGGTGTAAGACATGGGAAGTCTTCAAGGGTTTGACCACCACTGCCTTCCTATTATAGGCCATATTCTGTGGTGTCACCATTTGATGTACTGATATGGTGTGTGTTAACTTGGATCGTTACGCAGTAATGCCTGGTCCTATGTCGATGACGACGATGTCTCTGGGCTGGTCATGCGAAGACCGCTAGTTAAAATCCTGCTGCGACCCAGCCCTTAGTTTCACCTTTAATAATCATTCAGTATTCATAACATCAGTCTACTAATCCGTGGCTATCTCAGATGGCCTCACTAATAAATAGTGTATTAAGTTACAAAATAAAGTAATGGCTCAATTTATCAATATATTTTCTTTCTGTAGTACAACATTAATGCTTAACTTCAGTATAGACACGAAAAGTATTCTTTTTGTGGGTCTCATCCATCGATTGTACTAATGACACAATAACATGATAACCAGTTTCCTGATAAATTATGCTTTCAGATATTATAAACGATAAATAGGTCACAACCACAACAATTTTCATGTCAACTTTTGAAACTAGTTGATGTTTAGTAGCATCATTTCTAATAATGAAATTTGAATGTGGTTTTTTCTTCACTGTAATAATAGAAGCCTATTTCTACGTATACTTCCAGGCAATAGTTATCAATGATTGAGGCTATCCATTTTCTTTATTATTCCTATGAATCCTACAGTTTATACAAAGCATGTCTTCAACTGAAGTTTTTCCCCTTATTTATTGTGAAAAGTAGCGACAAAAAGGCAGCCAATAGGGGAGTTGTTTTCAAGTTATGATCAGATCATGTTCAGGTCGTGATTTATGCATGCACTGACGTGAGAACCTGATTGGAGAAGTTCGACCTCATACAAGGAATCTGATTGGTTCATTTATGGCTTCATTTTCTGAGTTTTGTAAATACATATGTGTCATGTAGTTGCCTTATAAAAGTTGTCCCTATTCTTGCAGTGGTGGGCCGTGTTTGTCGTCTGGTTTTTCCGCTGCTCAGTGGAGCAGAAGGTACTGAAGGAGGTCAGTAGTTAAGGTATTCGATTGAGGTGTCTATTGAGTCCATGTATCACTATACCCATGCACGCAACCCCGCCACTCGGTCACAACATATTGGAATAAATCCAATTTTTTCTTGAGGATATTTCTCAGCGTGTCAATAAACTCACGATTAAACGACTTTACTTGAATAAGATGAGACCATTAGTTATGAAATCGCAATTTAATGGCGACATACCCAGATATTTTTGATATCGGAGATTCTCTACAGCCATTAAGAGGACTTTCTACGCCGCACAACTCTGTCTGTCATTTTTCAGTCTACCAACTGTTGTTGCCCAGACAAAAAATAAGGTATCTACTTTTACCATTTCTATGTGTATTTACAAGTTTAGCTGCTCCTGTGGAGAAAGGTGATCCTAGCCCTATAGGGCGTACTACTAGACAAATTAACAGACATGTTGCTGAGCATCTACCTTCGTGGTTGGGAAAGGGAAAGATAAAATACCTCAGAAGTTCTGTTTTATCTCATCTAGTTGATAGTGGTCACCTGGTATATAAGAACAATGCTTTCGTGACTGTTCACCGCATACCACCTCATTTTTCAACAGGTATTCGAACTCTTCTTTGTATACAAAGCAGAAGCTGGGGGAATCCGAGCTAACAATCCTAGTCTTTGTATCAAGAAGAAGCTTGTACATTCCTTATCTCTCTTTTGGGCAGGGAGTACTTAGTAAACAACTTTATTAGTATTGTTCCTTGTTGTTAGTCGCTATCCATCATTAATAAACAACTTTATGTATTTTTGAGATGAATAGGGATTTTAATTTAGAAGTAGTATTCATCACGAACTGACATCAGTTAAGCAACCATGGAGGTTCTGGGAGCACTGGACAGCTTTTTCGTCCAATTAAGGGACCCTTTAGCAGTACGTACCAAGGATGCTAGGATGAAACAGCTATCCAGTGCTCCCAAGTTTTCGATGGTCCTTCAGCTGTCAGTCTGCGATGAATACTGCTTCCTAATTGAAGTTCCCATTCATCTCAAATATACATTAATGTATAGCGCTCATTAGTGACGTGCTTCCAGATGGATATCACGAAGTTCTGATGAGAATCTGTGACCTGTGAGGTCAACCACTCGGAAGGGAAGCAGATGCCAACTGAAGAACTTGGGTTATAGTCGCGCTATAACGTGAAATGACAGAAGTTGGAAACTGTAACTTTTGTTTTTCTAAGTTTTTGACCCACCTTTATTATCCATGTGTCTATATTTTCAAGCTGCTTTCTTGGTTCTTATCATCAATGCCATCTATACTGCAAGTGCTTTAGTCAACATTTTCATTTTTATAGTTTGTATTATTATCCCCATTGTTATTTTAAAACATTATTACATTTCCTGACTAATCTACACGACTGGTTTACTTTATATATATATATATATATATATATATATATATATATATATATATATATATATATATATATATATATATAAAGACTTACTTGCATTTCAAGAGGTGGCTATTAGAATGACTGTTATTCTCTGTGACTAAATAATTATGACTTCCATTCTTATTTAGACTGATCAAGGAAAACGGTGCGAAAATTTTAATAATTAAAGAGAATATGGCAAGAAAGATGCGTCTACGACTCACTTGCAGAGATGACTAAAACGGTGTGTGGAAAGTTTCCAAGAATAGCTCAACTAGCCTCTAGTTAGTCTTCCGTCGTCTATTATGCAGTCGGATCCTGAAACGAACATCAAAGTAGGTCCTCTAGCACCTGTAGAAATCGAGAAGGCTGTAAGTAATGTGAATCGAGTAAGGGAAGCAGGGCCAAACGAAGTAGTACTGCAGAAATTTAAAGGCAGAGCTGAAGGAAAGTTGGTTAAGTTGACTGAAGTGTTTGGGAGCTTATGCGACTATGGCTGGTCTCATCCGCTGATTATTTCGGTCGTCAAAAAGGAGAGAAATCCCCTTGTGACAACCACATTTACTGAAATCTTTACTAATTAAAAGCCAAAGTAGAGCTCAGGTCAAGCAACTCGAAAAATCCAATCAGTTTTCACACCTGTTTATGGGTGTATTAACCAGAAATTCACCCTCCACCAAGTTCTGAAATAGAGGCAAACTCTTCTGCCCCAGAACGCTAGTTGTATTTCTCTACTTAAAGATGACATTGGACTCGATTGAAAAAGGGGTTCTATAGTAGTATCTCCCACTGAAATAGGTGTCAAGTAGGTACATCACACCACTGAAGGCACTGCTTTCGAACGCCTCTGTGTGTGTCATAGACCATGGTGAGGCATCAGGTCAGTTGTGTTCGTCAACTGGTTTCACTCAACGGTGTCCACTCTCTCCAGTGTTATTCAGTCTTGTCATAGACGAGCTTGTGAAAACTTCTCACATCTCATCTAATCTCTCAGGGATCGACCTCGTCACACGAGACTCCTTAGTAGAAATGGAGTATGCAGATGATATATCCTATTTAGTTGAAGATGCTGACGAGATGCAGTATCTAATAGACACTCTGAATAGCTAATTGAAAATGTGTGGATTTGTTTCTCACCACTCAGATACCATCTGTCTTTCGAAGGACTCTTCTGCTGTGGTATTTCATGTCGGTAGAAGGTGAATTGGTTGAGTGCGTTGACCATTTCACTTGCTTGAGAAGTGGGATCCACCCTGGTTGGTCGATGACCGACGAAATGTCTGCGTGAATACAAAAGGTGTGATTAGTCTTTACCAGCGGTGCCGTCTATGACACCGGTTTGTTACATGACAGCCTATTGAAGGTTGAGTAAACTGAACAGGAGTTCACCGTGTCCTACTAGATGTATGTAAAATATAGTTATAAGTGGTAGAAAGCATGAGGAGGCTTCAAGTGTTTAGTCGCCATCGTCTTCGTCGTATGGAAAGTATGTCACAGAACCGTCACTTCAGTAGCATGGAAGTTAAACATATAGTTCCGTATAACAGAAGTAGTTCAGTTGCTGAAGTCAAACGACTTGGACACGTATGACGCATTTCTTTTCATGGTCTATGCAGTCAGGAAATACTTGTTGAAATTTGTATAGCCTGGAAAGGAGCTCTAGGCAATTAGAAAAATATGGCAACAGTTGTTGGATTCTCTTACTACTGGTCTGTGCTATGTGGGGCGATGTTAACTTTCCGATTGGATTTCATGTCACTGGTGAAGCTGGTGATTAGAGAGTGTGTGATTCAGAAGCTATTTCGATAGCTTAGATATATCCGCACGTTACTTTCATCTCAAAAGGCATTCCGAAATTGATTTTCTTTTAACGTTTTACCATATTCTTCTACTTTTCATTACTTTCTTCCTCATTCCTACTCTTTCATCTTGATTGAAGGTGTGGTGACCTGAAACGTTATGTAGTAGCTGCAGGTTCAATATTGATGGTGAATGATGAATTTTTCTGCCTAAGAGCAAATAGTAGATGGTATAATGACTCAATTTCGATACTTTCATTGGTAAAATCAAACTACGCCAGTCAATGACTCGCTCGGCAATGTGACTATCATTCTTTTAGAAATCGGCAAGTAAATTAAAAGTTGTAATTATTCCTTATTAGATTAAAAATACCTTCATTCCTCAACGTATCTATTTATGCTTTTAATGACATTGATTGTCTAATCACAAATCTACTGATAGAAAGGATCGATATATGTTTTAAAATTATCACTGCTTGACATAATAGTGAACCGTAGTACTCAGTAAACGTAAAACATGCGAAACTTAGCTCATTTTGGCAATATTACTTTTCTTGTATTCATATTCTTGAAACCGAGAGATAGTTTTCTCAAACAATCTGGTATCAATATCGATTACCACAGGTTTCTAAAACAGCTGAACAATTCCGAAAGTGTTTATTTCGATCCCAAGTGAGTTGAACATTTTTAGCATGCTTTTCAGAATTCCTGTATATATATATATATATATATATATATATATATATATATATATATATATATATATATATAATTATTATTATTTGTCCCTGGGGTTCGTAGTGAAACACAGGACTTCACTAGCACGTATCCATTCCACTCTCCACTCTCTGAAATCTTTTGAACCTGATTCCACCACTGCCCACAAGCTCTCATTTCTTCCTCACACCATCTCCTCCATGTCACTCTCAGCCACGATGCCCAACTCGTCGTTTCCAATGCCGGTTCCACTCAAGCAACTGGCCTGACGCGTGATGTCCCCAGTCGGCCTTCTCAGTGTATGCCCAATCCATCTTCACTTCCTCCCAGTGCATACTTGTTCAGCGATAGGTTCTTGCTTCGTTGGTTGGTTGACAGCCACAGTGAGTTCCTTGTTGCTTATTCTTATTATTCTGGCCATCTGAACTTCAGTAAGGAGCCAGCGTATGCAGTTGTTGATGAATATCTGAAGTTTGTTGGGAATGCTTTTCGTGACGCGCCGAGTCTCTGAACCATCACATAGAAGCACTTACTTGACGTTGGTGTTGAAAAGAAGTCAAACAAAACAAATGTTTAGTGTTTTGAATGCATTACAGGAATAAGATGAAAATAAAAACAACAGGCTGACTCCTCAATGGCTTTATATTGCGTTATCGCATAACACTTTTTATCAAAGCATTTGAGACAAGGTTTTCAGAATACAATAAGCTTGTTATATATGGGCTCGTTGTTGATCGCAGCTTTAATGAAATTTTTGGATCATGGTTAAAGTTTAGTGAAATTCTTAATTGTGATAGAACTGGCCAGTAGCGATGTTCGCACTCTTTGCATAACACTATTGATTGAATTATTCATGGGACCTTATTATGGTTATTACTATTTCATTCTTGGTTTGCTCTGTTATAGGATATTTAAACAATTTATGATTTTATTGTAATGCAGTACGTCTCATAGATCACATGGACGTCAACTAATATAACCAAATTATACTTGCTTTCCTTCCTTCAACAAATTCGCTTTGAATTTTGATTTCAGTTAGATTTTAGACAAATGGGTTTCAAGTTGTTATTCATCGAAGACTGACATCAGTTGGAGGAACAAAGGAAACCTGGGAGCACTGGACAGCTGTTTCGTCCTAGTATGGGACTCCTCAGCAGTGCGCACCCACTACCCCACCAGTAGGGGTCGAACCCGGGACATTCAGGTTCCGCGACCAGCGCGTTACCATTGAGCCACTGGGCCAGAATCCAATGCTCCATATTTCCAACTTCTGTTAGCTCACGATATAGCGCAAACCGCCACCCAATGTCATCGTTGAGTATTTGTCCTCACGGCCATCAGGCTTGACTCCACCGGTCACGACTTGTCATTGGAACTTCGGGAATACTTCTCGAAGCTAGTCACCAACGAGCACTAGTTCAATTAAATTTTGAGGGGGTTGTGGAGATTTGGAAATGGGTTTGTCAAGAACTCATGTGCAGAAATAATATCTTAGAACTCATGCCTCTGTGTTTTAACGTGGTGTAATTCTTAATTCTCACTTTGCTGCATGTTGTCCTTTCTTTTAGATCTGTTAAAATTTTTGTTTTTCTAGAGATATCTGCTGTTTGACAACAATATGATAATAATTAACTTCATGCAAACTCCTGATTACAAAATGAATAGTATCAAAAAGAGTCAAATTCCAAGTTTGGGTTCATATGGTAACTGAAATCCATACTTGCAGACTGTAGGCAGTATGATTCAAAATCGATTTCAGTGAATCAGATTCATTCACATATTATCTTCATCTTTTTCGATATATCCAGTTCAGTCATTGTTTATTCCTGTTTACTTGCTCATAATTTTTAATCGCTTTTGATTACTACCTTGATGTACTGATGATGAGGTGTGGTAACTTTAATTAGTAACTTTTTAACAATAAAGCAGATTATACTCTTTTTTATTTAAAACATAATTTTATTTTAGATTTCCAGAAATGGAATATCAAACTTTACACGAAATTGACTATTTAACTGACTTAAAATTTGGTCGATTTCATCAATTTTTAAATTTATTTAATGAGAAGGGAAAGAATTCAGAAGAGCTATTTGAAATTCGTCGAGCAATCGGTGCAGTGGTGAAGTTTTTAATGAAGGACACAATCATAACAATATCTGAATCTATTATAACTAATGAGACTATCTCATTCTTACGTTTACGTCGTTATTGGCAAGTCTTTTACTACTGTATAACAACATATAATTTCATGGAAAATGTGAATCCGTGCACGAGTGGATTTCAGATAAGGTTAGTTCATGTTTATTTATGTGTATATGTGTCTGTATTTGGAAGATATAAGTATATTGACGCTTTAACGTATGTTTATTCTGAGCTTAGATTATTTGTAACATACAGGTCGTGACTTGAGTATAAATTGACTAGTGATACATTTTAAACTGTGGGACTAATTAAGGGTGAAATTACAATGTAAATTGAACATATTTCTGCTTCAGTGTTTCTTTATATGCTCTAAGAGTAAGCTGGCTCATAATAGATCTGGCAATGTAGAATTAAGTTTATGGAAAACAAAGTTTGGTTATAAACTAACTGACTATGGGTTTGATTCCTGTGAGGAAGCGTAGGGTCATAAATATTCTAGTGATCAGTGATAGGAGGACTATAACTGAAAATTGACAACAATAGAGAACATTTATTAGTTCTTCATCATCCTTGAAACTTAAGGTAAGTTTATGATAGGAAGCCGCCAAACCGAAATCAACATTCCAAGTCATCAGCCTCCAAGGTAGGAGTTTGGGATTTCAACCTTTGTTTCAGGTTGCTGTGTAGACAGAAAAGCCTTATTGAACAAATTTATTCTGTAGCTGATCAATCTCTGACCTAGTGGATTTCTGGGGAAAACCTGTACATAAATGATGTGTTTTTGTCAAATAAAGTTGTCTTCCGCAAACTAACACGGCGGCTTTTGTCTTCTGATTTTCAGTGAAAGGTCAGTTCTAAAGGAGAACAGTCGCTATTTGTATTCATTCCAAGTATCTTACTGCTTTAGTAGCACTGTCGTCAAGGCGATGATGAATAAAGAGGGACTGAGCTGGAATAAAGCTAAGGACGGCCAACGGAAGCATGCTGCCAAGTTGTGAAATCCTTAACTCTTATTTTGAGCCTTATAGCACAAATTATGGTAAATTCTTTGCAAGGTCCTAGTTTATTTTCATATATCTAGCATAGCCTAAAGTCATCTTATTTGTCTTTAAGTCTATTAACATATCTTTTAAATAATAAATCTCAACCAGGTATTATTTGTCCCTTGGGTTCCTAGTGGAACATAGGGCTTCACTAGCACGTCGTCATTTCACTCTCTTCTCTCCAGTTTTTTCAACCTGGCTCCACCACTGCCCGCAAGCCTTCATTTTTTCCTCATACAATCTCCTACATGTCACCCTCAGCTGCGATGCCCGACTCGTCGTTTCCCATACGGGTTCCACCCGTGTTTCTGGCATGTGATGTCCTCGAATGGTCTTCTCAGTGTATGTCCAATCCAATCCATCTCCATCTCCACTTCCTTCTGCAAATTTGTTAAGCAATGAGTTCTTGGTAGGTTGGTCCGTTGCCAGCCAAAGCAATTTTATTTTGCTTATTCTTTCAGGCCATGTTATCTTCAGTATCAAGTGAGCGTAGGTGGCAGCTGTTAATGTATGATGTCTGCAGTTTGTTGGAAGTGCTACTTGTAACGCCCCAAGTCTGTCAGCCATCCCAAGGAAGCACTGACTTGACTGAATTAGTGTTGAAAATCTGGATCTTGTCCTTTATGTTGAGTGCAGTGTAGTGCAGTAGGTCTCAACACTGGTTTCAGATTAATGAGGGCCTATCTTGCTATCTTTCGGATGCTAGCTTTGACATCCTCATCTGTGTCGCCACTGCCGCACGTAGTTGAAACGATACTGCATAGGTAGGTGAAAGAGACACTTTCCTTTAGATTTGCCCCGTTGATGGTGATTGGTGCTTGTTGTTTGTTAGGTATCTTCATCACCTCTGTCTTCTCCAAGTACACCTGAAGAAAGTCTCGTCTTCTTTCGCTAACCTGTCTCTTCTGCCAGCTTGTTAGTCTTTGCCTGTACATCAAGTTTGTGCGACAAGACAATAGACATACATCATCATCGTTAGTGAAATCCAAATCCTCTAGGGTATTTTCATCGGTTCGGCCAGCATATTCCCATCTCACTCCTCACGGTTTGTTACATGATCCAATTCACCACAATCAGAAAGATCATGGGTGATAGTAGGCGCAACCTCGTCTCACTCCTTCCTGTCTTCGCTTCAAAGGTATTACTGAGCTTCGCATTGTGAATTACTTGGTATGTGGTATCGTCACACAGTTATTGAATGAGGTTGGTTGATAAAGGTTTGTAGTACTCCCTAATGTTGAAGCAGTTTCCAAATTACTTGTTGGTCGACGCTATCGAAGGCCTTTTCAAAGTGGATGAAGTTGAGGTGAGGCAGAGAGTTGACTGCCATTCTGTGCTCTGTTCTGTGAAGATGCGAAGCGTAGCGTTGTAGTTTGATCAGCAAATGATTTATTTTTGCTGAAGCCAGCCAGCCTGTCCCGGTCGTAATTTTGAATGCGGAGCATTGTTTTAGTTTCGCTACGATAGTGTGGCATAATATTTTGCTTGGAGTGGACAGGAGTGGAGCATGAGTCCGCGCCAGTTCTTACAAAGACTTGGGTCGCCCTTCTAGCAATTGCCAGGTACCTTTCCTTCCCTCATTCCCTTCAAACCTTCTGCAATAGTGGTGTGAGCATGTCCGCTGATGTCTCCGCGTCTGTTTACAGTATTTTTGGAGGAATTTCATCTGATTCTGCTGCTTTTCCGGATTTCGGTAACTTTATGGCGTTCAGAACTTCACTACTGCTTTTTTCGGGAGGTTTGTTCTCCCGTAGTTCTGTGGCTGGTCTTCTGGTAGTGTTTCTGGACGAGTTGCAGATGGTGGTGGTGGTCGATTCAAGAGTATTTTGGAGTGGTCAGCCCATCGTTTCCTTTGTTCCTCCTCTTTGGCGGTAACTAAGTTTCCTTCACTATCTTTCATTCGTTTCGTCTGTGTTGATCTCTTCCATCCCAGATAGTAACCTGGTTATTTGATATAATGTTGTCAGGTCTCTCTTACCAGCCAACAGCCTACTCTGCTTAACTTGTCAATGTGTAGTAGAGATGTTTTTCGTCTTTGAGAAGGGAAATACGCTGGATCAGATATGATTTTTTATAAAAGGGAAAGTTTTAGGAAGAGAAAGAACGAAGTACTAAAGTTTGTAATGATGTTCAGTGTTTGGAATCTGAAAAGAATGAAACATTTCTGCGCCATTATGACTAGTTTCACAGTTTTGACATTTTAGGCCCCCTAGCCAGGTAACCTTACTTTAACGTAAATAGCTGTAAACACTTGTCTATAGCTAAGTGGCACAGTTCAGCTGGATTATCAATAACCTTTTTCTAAACTACTACTAATTATGATAGGGGCGTCCACTGAAGTGAATAGTTGTTTTATGTCCTCTCACCAACTTGATGCTGTCTTAAAACTCTTAGTTAACACTCTGACTGTAAGTATAACGTAGGCAAAGTAAAATATTTTAATAGATAAGCAGTGTTAATTTGTTTCCATGTTTAACTTTATTACTTTCTGTCTATAATCGGATTTATTCAACTGCATCATTAGAACAGTAAATTTATTTATTTGTATTAATTTCAAATAACCTTATCAGCTATTTAGCAAGTGCCATATGATATACTGTCGATGTCATGTGATTTTAGTGTCTTTTGTGACTCACTTTAGTGGGTAATAAATTTTTGCGTTCTTGTCAGCTTCCGTCGCAAATGTTAAGGGTGGTGTCTGAGGCAGCGAACAGCTTGGAGATATTCAAAGATTCTACGCCATCCGCACAGTATCAGCAAACAACTTCTGTGTGTATAAATGCCTATCTGTCTACAAGATACGTTAAACAGGAGTTACATTATAGGCATTAGTAATAAAAGAGTTTGTACAATGGTTGGCTAGCGTACCTTAAGTATATCATGCATGTCTAAAGTGAACAATCCTACATTAGAGTGTGAGTTCACTAGCATTTGGTGAGGATTGGGTGTGTCGAGCTAACAAATTTTAACTGTAACAAAACATACACCTCTAAATCATCCTTAAAAAACATCAGAAAACAACTTGCAACAGTATAAAGGGATCTATGAAAAGGACTTCGTAATTAAAATATACAGATCATCTTGTTTTAGAAGAATCAGTGAAAAGGTCATGAAATTCTGCTTAGTAAAAATTAGGTGTGATGAATTTAAGGTAAATAAGGTGAGGACAATCACATTATGTTTAGTACAAGTGCTCAATGGTTGGAAGCAACCGGTTAATTGGCACTTGTCAGCAAGGCGTATTCGTGTCTTCAGGGGAACCGACTTTTTCTGAGAGATTCAAACATGCATCAACCAGTGTTGTAGTCAGAAAAGTTAATACTGAGCTTTCCAGGTCACGATTGTTTTCCTGCAGAGTTGAATTAGACACATCTATTGGTCACTGAAAAGTGATCAATTTCATTTTGTCCATTGTCATTCACCGGACGGTTTTTGGATGACATACGGACTGAATTTGAAAGATCAAGTATTAAGTGTTTCAAACGAATTTTTACAAAAAGCTGCTGACACCTTTCTGTCTTAGTGACAAAAATAACGGTACGATTTAGTCCCTATGTATAAATACATTGTTTATGCACCATCCATTATCTTGATGTGCTTTAGAAGAATACTTTCATAAACTAACATTGGAAAATACCTTTTATAGGAACAAGATAGTCAGACGGACAGAAAAAATCAACGTAAAACGTCTCACACAAGTGGATCGGTACAAGCTGATATACTCCACAGTAGAATAAGGAAAACAAGTGAATGAAAAAGGAGTGATATCAAAGTAGAAAAAGTTGTGTGTGACAAGAAACAATTTGGAGATAAAATTTCGTGTGGATATACAAGCTATAAATGAAGTCAAGGAGAAGATACATCGGCATGCATAGTACATGTCCAAGCAATCTCAGTTGACTAGGGTTAACAGACTTATCAGCCGTCTTGCCTAGAACCCTTCGCCTGATGTTTACATTGCCGACGACAAATGCAACGAAGACACCTATGATCGAAACCGTGTAGTTTCTTCATGTCTCCTGCCTTAAACAGCCATGTCTCACAAACATACAACAGTACAGAAAGCACTCGAATACAGTACGCTCATACAGCAATCATTATTAT